GCAGTATAGGTCTCATTTCAAATGGCCACTTCGACTTGGGATCCTTCCCTTGTAAGACTACTGTACCCAACTATAGCACATCACTATTGTGCCAAAATTATCATGCATTATGTGAACAAACACGATCTATCAGCTTATCGTAAATGGGGAGATCGGAATTTATTTTTGAAGAGTCATTGTCTCAGCTGAATATTCGACGAAAGAGGTTGCGAAAACTCTCTGAACTGATTGAAAAAAGTTGCAGTTCGGCACTGACAACGACCTGGCTGAGAATTTAATTGAAATTGTGCGGAATGTGTGAAATTTCAGACTTTCTTAAAATGTATTCTGCCTCTGGAGCTAACATCGAGTTCGTTTTTTTCATAATTTCTGAACGACTAATAGAAGAGAAGTCAAAAACTCCAAGGTCTTGGATGCGATGCATAGAAGACGCAATCTTTCTTGGATAAGTCAATACTGGTGAACCATAGCAATGTTCGTTCTGGTCGATACCATACGCCGGATCACAACTTCCTATGCATTCAACCTTATTTGACAAAGGACATGCTTGCCACTAGGAAAATCTATTCAATGCACCACTATAACGATAAGAATGGAAAATAGGAGGCCCTGAGATCGGCTTTACGCGTCATGTTCTAGCCGATATGCACAGGAGTCTTCATTCATGCGTACTCCTTAACTCAGCCGCATCAAGCTTAGGCTGTCAGCAAAACCATGGAGAACGACCGTCACTGATAATATCCAGAACTACCACTTGACAATTGTGAGTGCCCCAAAATGAGGCGGGTGGGACTCACGAATGCAAAAAAAGAAAGTGCTGACGGAGCCGGCAATGGGGAAAAGGCATCTCTTGGGGTGTATGGATGCGGCGCGGATAAACTGGTTGCCTGAAGATGTAATGGCACAGTTGGCGTCGCAATCACTGCATATAGGTGACAATAAATCGCTGGCACATTGATAGGTAACTTCAGTGAAATGTTGAACCTTGCAATTCTAGATGTTCGCTTTTTATCCGACCGCTATTGTGTTGTTGCAAGTTTAAGTGTTTCTTTCGAAAAGCTCTCATTCATATCGAGGATTCAAGAACAGCTCTTGGTATCTAGTCCTAGGGGTTCTATGGAAAGTGTGGCAAACAGTCGACCGTTCCCTACTTCCACTTTTTCGGGGGGACGGTACGAACGTGCGTCCGAGGGTGCGCGCCGCAAGTAGCGCGGCGAAGTTCGTGACGATTTGTACGACTGCGGCGCCAATTTTCGGGGCACAAACTCGAAGGGTAGTTTAGTGGGGTCGGATGATACTCCTAATCCACTCTACTTCAAACTTAGGCCCCAATGATAACCGCCGAAGTCGTTCAAATCATTACGAACTTCGCCGCGCAATTTGCCGCGCGCATCCTCGGATGCACGTTCGTACACTACCCCTTTTTCGGCGTGGCGTCCGCACCGCTCATCAGGTACTTCATGGAACCGAATCACATCGAAAATTAAGCGTACTAAGATTGATTACTGAAAGGGAATTCCTCAAAACTGCTTCAGTTAATCATCGTATCACTCATGCCAACATACCCATCATATTTATAGAATTCAGTTTTTCTTCAGTTCTCTAGCAGTTCAAAAGACCAAACTAAGAAAACCTTGCTTAAGGTTTAGACCTATTTCATCCCCAATTCCATCAACATTGGTATGTGACTATTCGGACTAGCAAGTTTACGGCGTGAACTTGAGCTAAGCACAATTCAACCACGGAACTGTAGAACAGCTACCACTTCACATAATGTCTACATACTCAAACCACACGTTTCATTGACCTGCCAGCTCCAGTGGCGAAGCACATTTGACAAGCATTGGCCCGCCTGTAACAGTAAAGCAAAACTACCCCATAAAACAAGATCGTTCCAAAAACTTCATGATTATTCTTTTACTGATGTATTTGGTATTGTTTGGTGGACATAGAGCTCGATGAAGCTGAGGTTGAGGGACTGTACCCAAATCCGTATAAACCTGATGAAATTCCCACAGAAAGTAGTAGATCCAACACTGAAAAGAGCGGATGCTTCTAACAGTTTTGGGTGTACATGATGAGAATGTCAACCACCTCCGAATTGAACACGAGTTCCAATTCAGTTATTTTTGAAGCTCAATGTCACCACTCCAACAATGGGTATATGTAGGGACAGCAGCACACAATAAGCTACAGATTAAGCTACATATCGGTACACTCGATCGGAAGAAAGCTGCTGAGCAGTCGTACACACAGTTTTGCTGCCTACGAGTCAAGCGGAGTAGTAATGTGCCAAGCCATTTGTACTGCTGTTTCGCTAGCACGAAAATGAGTTGGTAAAATGAAATTTACACAGAATGTTTCATATCACGACCAGGAAAAGGTTGGACCCTATTTTTCAAAAAAATTTTGAAGCAAAACGCTCATATTAAGCCCGTATTACAATAACTTCCTCAATCTTGTTTAGTAATAGAAGTGAATAAATCAATAATGACTAAGAAATCAGTCATCCAATTCACTTACTCGACGTCATGTTCGGATAAAGCAGGTTACCGTACCCAAATCGAGGTAGATAAGTAGCGTACGCTGTAACAACCTGATTCAGTCAATCCCACCAGATTAAAAAACAATAAGATAAGCCTATTGGTTTAACAGTAAGAAAGAAAGCCTTACAAAAACTGTGACGTAACTTTACTCATCTTACCTAGTAACTGTTCTGGTGGAAGACCGTAAAGATTTCGTGCTGCAGCTGCACGCGATTTGTTCAGTTGAACAGGTAACATTACCTAAAGTGATATTTTTCATTAGTTTGACGCTTCACTCAAAACAGATGAAAGGAAGGCATGCTATGGGATATAATCATTTCGCTATTCTTTTATATCGAAGTTCTCTCACTTTAATATTGGATCATGAATATGGTTTAAAAAATCAGAATGCTCTCGACCCTTCAGACTGTGTTCCGTGAAAAAGATTTAATCAAGAATTGCAGAATCAGTTGATAGGCAGACTTGTTTGTAACAACCTATGAGGGCCAACCTGATGTGCAGCTCAGTGAATACATCCCACTAGGTCGACTGAATCTGTCAGTCAATTGCCTGGAAGCGATTCGCACTCAGTTCAACAAAGAAATCAACATCTATTTCCATATCGAGTTATCAGATCTATGTCAAAACGTCTATGATCCGGAGTCCTTTAGGGTGACTACGCACTGGACAACCAGAGCTCAAGATCGAGAACAATGGAAAAAAAGTTGGGACCCGCGCAAGGCCAATCGCCGTGCTGATGGTCGGGTCGTCTAATTGTAAGTATCTAAGTATCACCCTATTGAAGCTTTTTCTGGTACGTCACCAATCATTCACCAATCACATTTCAATTCTTCTTGCAATTATAATATCAGTTCTGAACATGCTCATGAATCATTTGGCTACCACTTATCCTTCACCGAAACTATCGAAACGGCTAGAGTTGATGAAAGAAATCTCACCTCTTTTGGCTGCGCTTTCTTGCACTCAACCATTTTCCCATTGATCTCATGGAAATGGATCTCACATACTTTGTCCGACACCTCGTCGTTGTCGAAAGTGATGAAACCAAATCCTAAAAAAAATGTCATTCGCGAAACTACCGACCCAGTCATTTACCGAGCATGAGGAAAGGGGACCAGTTTCACTAGCAGATCTCTGGGGATGGAACAAGTCGGCTTTACCTTTGTGGCACAAAGCCTTGAAATAGAAGTCTTACTCTCCTATAGCAGTAAACAAATTGTGGGGAATATAACAAATTAGAAAATCAGGTGTCAGAGCCAGAGCAGATTTTTGTAATGCTATAAATAGAGACAGAATTCTGTTAAAAAATACGTAAACAAAGAGTCACTTGAGCAAGTCGATCGATCTGTGGAGGCTGTACTATTATATTTGGCAGTTAAAACCAGATTTTCAAAAAAGTTCCATCAAAAAAGTGATTCCGTGCAAAAAAGTCGATCAACAAACCAAAAGCCAGCAAATTACTGGAGAATGCTTGAAATCACTTACCCCTATGACGCTGGGTGGCTTTGTCGAACATAAGCATGGCATCCTCAACCTAAAATATAATTCTATTTGAATTAAAACTATATGTATTAATAGGTGACCGATTTATCGATCTCTACAGCACATATTCTAGAAAGGTAGTGAAGCCTACTATCTAGCGCTGTTACATACACAGCTAGCAAAGGGAAACGGGCAAAACATTTTCCTTCTCGAAATATCGAATGCGATGGAGTTCAGTGGGAAGGTGGTGTTCCTGGAATGCTTTTCTCCTTCTAACTGATATTCGGATCATAATTGAGCTCGGAACGGATTTACTAGTGATAACACATTCTAAAAAAGTCATTAACACCTAGCTATCCCACCACGAGTTCTAATTTAAACGTTACATTTACCAAAAGCTGCAGAGGTCAGGTTGGTGTGCCTGCACAGATGATTATAGTATGGGCTTTGAGGAAGCCTTTTAATTGAAAAAAAAAGGAAAAAACTCATCCTTCAGTATAGAAGTCTACTTGGTTAAAAGATAGGTTACTATCAACCCTATCCATAATCGAACCAGACCCTTCCAGATTGCAGCTGATCCTCAGGACTCCTCATGCTCCTTCCTCCTTCCTTTCGAGAAGGCCAGCAACTGGGTAAAAAAATACCCATATTTTAGCTACAATAGCCGCACATTTCCTACTTAATCCTCTCCATCAAACACCACCTGTCCTAATGTTGTCGGAGCACCACTTTTTGTTTTTTGCCCGTTTCCGCTATGCACTCTAATAGGTCTGGCACTCTCTCGTCACTACGTATTACACTTGGGCTCGATTCAGCCCCTACAGTACCCTGCATGTTACTGATGCTGTTGGTCTCACAGCGAACCGTGGACATCCGTCACAGGGGATCATCCAGACAACTGTCGCAGCGACATGCACGCCAGCCTCGCTGTCGGAAAAACAACAACAGTCAGGTTCATATTGCTCTCGTATAATCATTATATATCAAACCCGGCGCACCAGAACAATAAAGTTTTGGCAGTAAAGAGATTTTATTGATTTTCCTAAATATTCTTCAGCCAGCGGGCCAGTCGAAGTCACTAGGAAGCATCGAAAACCCTCCCATATTAAAGCATTGCCCGCTGAGAGGGAATCGATTTAAAAGCTCCCATGTACATACCGTATGGCACATTCACTCACCTCCCTTCCTTCGAAATTTTTAACTCATTTAATACCTCAATGCAATGGTTGTTTACCCTTTGCAGCTGCGAATCGCATTGTATTCAGCGACTTCAAGGAAAGTTTGTATAGAGGAAACTTGCCTGAATCCTACATTTCAAATAAAACAAGATTGAGGCTATCCCATAGCGACCTACAAGGGGTCCCACAGTAAATGCATACTCTCAAGGGCAGTGGACCCCTTTCCTGTCCGCCCACATAACCAAAACTACAAATGGCCTTGAGTATCCACCTGCATCTCTGGTCAATGCGACCCCAGAAACGTTCACCCCAAGGTCTGCAGAAATAAGGTGCTCATTGTGTAGCCTTGACGAGGTTGTGAAGTGTCCTGAACAATTGGGAATTCTTGCTCATTTCTACATCAACCCGTATATGATGGATATGTATGCTTGACAATAAGCTAATAAAAATTTGATAAATAACTCTTAAATACCTTTCCATACTGCTCAAAATATGTCTTCATATCCTCGAGTGTTGACGAGGCCGACAGTCCACCGATGAACACTTTCTTCGTTTTTGTCACCATCTAAATCAGTAGAGATCAGAATACTTGGTCACCAAAATTACAAGCTTTTGACCCTTCTCAAGTGGTACCATGTGGGAAATGTTTTCTTCTGATTTTCTAGAGGGAGGGACGAAACTTGCCAGATTCGCTTTTCATGGAACTTCTCACTCAAAAATTACGTGGAATGGCTCCTCACGTATTTCAACTCAATGCGAAGGTGACCCACGACCCACGTTCCCTTTGGCGCCTCAAGCGCTCCCGTTACAGTAGTTGATTTTCGGTCTGGGAAAGGCTTAAGATCTTGACAGCTCTAGCCAAGATTACAGATGATAGACGGTGGTTCCGGGCCGCTCGCAGCACCTGACTTCGGCAGTGGCGCATCTTGACCCCTGCCTTCATCTAACAAACTCTGTTGTAATTATTAGGTGGGTAACTGACCTGCGGAGGTGAAAAACCACTGTGTTGAATTTTCTAATATGTGTACTATTAGTGAAACTACGACAGAATTAAGACGGAAAGAATCTACTACACTCTACAAAACTTCTAACACTACTTTTCTAGGTACCGTACCGTTAAACTGCTGCATCCCTTCTCAGTATGGGACCAGCCACCTTTCTAGCATTAAATCAGCTCAATGAGAATACTAGAAATGTGGGTAATCCTGAGATTTGCTGACTCCGAAATCTCCATCACTGGCAGTAACTTAATTCTTAATTGCCTGGAATAAGCCTAACGAGACGATTGAGGGAAAGGTGGTCTTAAACCACTTTGGAAGCCATGGCAACCACACCGAAAAAAAGCAGTTGCACACATAACACCCCCTAGTCGGCCACACTCGAACGCAGTGGGCGCGATAATTGGGTATGGGAAAAACGAAATGGAAGTATGGTGTGACGAATAGCTCCCCTTTTCTCGTTACATCAAAATAAGGACACCATATTCCCTGTCATCCCCCGTTTTCTCTGCTGTACACTCGTTATTATCACATTTCATCACAATTGACAGGTCTAAAGCAAAAGCAATTGTTACTTCTATCTCTCGCTAAAACGCCGTCATCCCAGCGTGTACTGTTAGGTACCGATTGCTCATCCCGCCCCTTTTCGAGCACCTTTCGCCTCGTAAACGCAACCCATGGTAAACCTTGTAGGATATGCAATCTCCTAGCGTGCCCTTCTGCTGCACAGCCTATTCCGAGTACCCATTACCTCAGATAACTCAAGAAGTACTAATTTTGTGAGAAGAACTTGAACTCTATCAAGCCTATTCCCATTTGAAGCCGTATGCACAATAGTTCGATTTAGAGGTGATACAGGTTTAAAATAAATATTCGTTCCAGAGATATGGAGGCACGAACAAAACGTGGTTCACAGTTTGCCCTTTTTTCGGGGTGAGAAATAGGCTCAGTGAATTGTGCACCTCAAACGCTAAGTCTGAGATTGGACACCTGAGTTGGTTATCTAGCTGAGCCTGGACAGCAGAACAGTTAGCAGCGCAGTCAATGTAAGTTGTTCTGGAGAATCTACGGAAATTTGATAAAAAAATGTTTTCTTAGCCCGTCAAATTCTACCATTACACTACCTGCCCCTATCTAGTATGCTAGAGTCCTTAAAATTCCAAAGTACCTTTGGCCGTGGATATCGAACAGCCTAGTTCCCCGAACCATGGCTCAAACACCTGTCGTACATACAGCTTCAGCGCAGGATTGCGAGAATTCCTTGGTGAATACTCGGGCCGCTCGATGTGCCACTTCAAGCAAGCACTTCGGACATTAATTTGGCCTCGCTTTCTCACGAATCGCGCTGTGCTGCAAAGGAACTACGGCACGTTCGCCGGCAATTACAATGTTCACGGCTAACGAAAGCGCTCGATGGAGGTGGAGGTGTGCGCAAAATGCCGGAAGCACCATAGCCGGCCGTAAAGCGATTGCTGGCCAATAAACGGCAACTCAATGCCATTGTTCAGTGTAGTTAAACGACACAACGATTGCTAACAAATCCAACAACACACAAAACGCACAACACCCTGCGTCGTATACAGTGCTGCCGCGGTGAGCGCCATTTCAACCCACAACGACGGTGATGACGATGACGACTGAAGATGGTAGGCGTTGCGACGAACTTGTTATTAGCAAATTGTGGCCAGTTCGAGAATAATGCCTGGCTTGTTGATCGTTTTAATGGCGACACTTGTCGTCGACAAGTTGCTGCGTAGATGGAATGAGAGTGTTACCAGAGGCAGCAGACAGCGAGTAATCTAATCGACGTCGATTAGCACCACCAACTCCGTGAGGGCACTTGGGGTGTGAATACGATGTGAATAGCGGCGGTGCACAGGAGGCGGAGACGGAAACGGCTACAACGCTGTCGACAACGGACGACGGTGGTGACAATGACTGCTGCAGAGGTAGGTAATGACGAACTCCCTCCGCAATGAACACTGTAACGGTAAAGAGAGAATTGGGAGCGGATCATCACAAATCATCATCCAAAATCAATTCGGTGACAGATACACAGCGGGCAAAACAATGAAAATCGTTTGCCTCAGTCCGATATAGTTCCTAATCGTATTCAGATTGATGTTCACAAATAATAAAGAAGAATAAGACAATTTTCAAAAATCTGAGAACGATAAAAAAATCTCATTCAGCACTATATTCGAATACATCTTTTATACGAAGTGCATCCGCCAGCCCTGAGTGGCCTAAAGTGCTTGCGATATGGAAAAGAGCGTTAAAAGGATATGCGAGTTACCAAATGGAGCTGAACGAGATCGAATATGTAAGTATAGAGGAAAAACGGCTCATAGGAATTACCAAGATTAAATTAATTTACTTCTGGGAACTACTAGTAAAATTATGAGAACATTTTCATAATTACATCAACGACTAACATTCATCATCAAGAAAAAGTCATGTCACACCTGTATGAACCTTACGGCTAAAGCCGCAGATGCCTCACTGACACACAAATTTATTTGCCTGTACTCCAGCCTGCTCGAATTCATTTATAATAGGATTTGTTTACTCACAACTATACTCTTTACCGTACTCCCGTTATTAGCACGAGGAATGTCATTTTACTAGTTCGCATTACTCCCAGTAGTTAAAACACGGAGGAGTAACGTTATGCAAAGTCCCATCAAGAAGTACTGCGAAAACTAGCCAACAGTATCCAATTTTCACCTTTTGTGATCGCTCTAGTAACATCGATAGTAAACACTTTAGGGTAGTCTAGTGAGAATTACTGTAGAATAGTGCTGGAGACTAAATGAACAGCTCAATTTGGAAAAGATTGCACTCAAAGCCGTGTCAATCAAGTGCAAAGGGCGAAAAAGTGCGATGAAAAACTGGTTCTGCATTGAACTAAGTCGATTTCTTTATAGATTGGATGACTAAGCAGAGTTTGCTCTGTAGATAGGAATTACCCTTCCGAAAGTGACAATTCGACATCGCCTTATAACGCAATACGCTGGACGTCAGTGAAAAGTCGCGGAGCAGATGTAGGCGCACAAAAACGCGTGTCAGTGTCCGTGTTGACGAGGGATTCAACCAGATTTCCCAGTCATAGCGGCAGTGTTTCGGGATGAGTCGATCATAATTACGCGCTAGTGGGATTGGAACGAGTGTGTTGGTCGTCTGTACGTCGTTGGCTGTCATTTTCCATGTCTGCTACTAACACCTTCACTTCACAACATCTTACCGGTTACATCAGAAGAATTATGTATGTCACTGGTACGAAGACTGCAAAACAGAAAAGCTCCATGTGAACAGAGAACCAGTTCAGACCATAAAACGAAAAATACTATCGTGCAATGAGAGGGTGTATTCAAACTAGGAAGTTAGGAAAAAATAAATTGGCTTTTCTGGACGTTTCACCTATTTCTAACAAGCAGGGTATTCAGAGTATTCATAAAAAAATCAAATGAATGAAGGATTTTTATGATGACAGAGTCAGCCAGAGATGGACATTTGCTGAGGGATGAGCTAACCAGTTCACAACTGGTTAGCATCATGGATCGTTATTCGCAATAGCATGTCTTTGACTATCGATCGATTGATAAGGCTGCCGCTACCACAGACAAATCTTCCCAGGATACGCCATATAATTGTCATCCTGCCGGAATACTAAGCACCGATGAAGTACTTGCTAACAGCTGAGTCTGAAGAGAATATTCCTAGACCGATGTTTAACCATTAACAATGGTCGACAAGAAAAATAGGACGACTTGATCATGATGAGCAAGGAGCGCACTGGGTCTAACTTCCTTCCTATACAACTGAATCACCTTATTCGTGAATCTGGCCTCAAAAACTGCTCTTGCGTTCATGAAAAGCGAAGGTCCATGGGACTATATGAGAGGTGGTGACTGAACTGCTTTGTAGCCAAGCCTCCCGATTTCTCCAACAAGCAAATGGGTCAATCACAGACACGTGAAAAAAGTCTAAGAAATAGAGGCTCTGAAGCTGGCGAAGTCGCCGAAACGTTAGTCCAGTGAAGGCAAAAAATATTGGAAAGGCTATGGTAAGCTGGAAACGCACTAGTCGGAGGCGCTTACTTCAGAGAAATTCAAAAGTGCCTCTTGTGATGTAAACAAGTTTCAGATTTAGCTTTTGAAGAATATCAGCATTGCAAGGAAGCGTAAGACAGCCTGACTGCTTTTCAACAAATTCCTTGGAGAAACGAATCAATAAATAGATCATTGATGCTCTCTCGCCCAGGGAAAGCAATAAATCGTCCAAAGAAAGACTCGCCTCTCCGGAACAACATTAGCATCGATAAATTCTGGAATTTCAGGCAGTTTAACTGCACCTTCCAAAGAATATCGACTTATAAAGTCGCTGCGGGACTCAATATTGACGGAAGAGGGGGGGGGGGGGGGGGGAGGGATGGGAAAGATATTTTCTATTCAATTCGAATGGAGCTGCTGGTGCCTGAGAACAACGCTCAACGAAACAATTGAACGTGAAACAATGCGCTCACACTTTCTACAGAATCTTAAATGAGACATAATTGTCATGGTTA